TCAGGGACCAGTGCAATAACTATGAGTTTGAAGTGCTCTGCATGGGGTAAATCTCTTTGCAGATCTGGGCTTCCATTTTCCCATATGTTCTTACTTTAGCTTTCATAAGACTTCAACAGCTACAATGGCAGAAAAGGCGATTCAAAGCATGTTCAGTATAATTTTGTCCATTTAATGAGCAAACACTCAATAATACATATTAGGTGTCAGGTACCATTCTAAGAACTTTATGTATAATGACACAATGCTGCCTTTCATTCATTTATTCATTCATTCAATAAAAATAAATTGGATGTATTCTGTGAAACTACACTGTGCTAGGAATGAAAAAGGCATCGGATACAGTGTTTTTCCTCTCTCTCATGGGCTTAGTGGGAGAGACAGACAAAGAAATCAACAGCACAATGTCTGGAATAGGGGCGTGCACAGCAGGTATCATTTGTCCCGAGGCCCAGAATCAAGAGGATGTAACCTGCCCTGAGTAGGTGATGTTTAAACGACTCTTGAAGGGTGAGTGCGGGGGCTGCAACAGGAGGAGGGGCAGGGTCCCAGGAGGAGCCTGTGCACAGGACTGAGGGAAAGCCAGCCTGTGCTTGAGGGAGCGGCAAGCGCTACCCCACAAGCCTAGAGCAGACGGTGTGGACCTGAGCCTGAGGCGGGGTCTCAGTCTGCTCAGGCTTCCATACAAAAAAACCACGGACTGGGGCGGGGCTGAAACAGCAGACATTTATTTTCTCATAGCTCTGAGCCTGAAGTCCAAGACCAAGGTGTCAGCAGTTTAGGTACCTCCTGAGGCCTCTCTTTGGCTTATAGATGCCGCTGTCTTGCTCTGTCCTCACATGGCCATCCTTCTGGGCAAGGCTGTCAGGTGTCCCTTCCTCTACTTATAGGGTCACCCATCCTATTGGATGAGGGCCCCTCCCTAGAGGGACACAATTCATCTGAATGCCACGAGAAGGGAGAGAGATGGAGGGGGTGAGGCCGGTATGGCAGCTACTGAAATAGTCCAGGGGAAGAGTGCTGGAAAGCTAAGTGAACAACAGCATTGGGCGCGGAAAGAAAGCGGGAGAGTCTTGAGATTTATAGCAGTAGAAGAATCTGCAGGTGGAGGCAGCCAGTCAGCCGGGAGGACATGGGTGGAGGGAGGAGGTCAGAGGGTGGGGTGACTCGAAAGTTCTGAACCGAAGGATGGCGATGCTTCCTGGCACGAGGAACGGGGAGGAGGAGACCATCTGGAGGAGGAAGGAAGATGGTGAGTGAAAAGCGCCAGCGGAAAACCACGGGGAGAGTTTAGCAGGGAGCTGGGGGGGGATGTTGGTCTAAGAATCTGAAAACAGGTCTGGCCTGGAGCTAGAGATTTGGGAAACATCAGCTAGCTTGGGGCCAAAGATTTGCAGCCAAGGATTTGAACAAGGTCACCCAGAGAAAGAGAAGGTGGCCAAGGACAGACCCCTGGGACTCAGGAAAAGGAGCGGCCTGAGAAGGGGGAAGAAAGCCAGGAGGTGAGAGGGAGCTGGCGCTGACTAAATGTGGGCCTGCACTGTGCCTGGCACCACCGTGCGCGGTGCGGTGACAGCATCTCATGTGACTCTTACAGAAGTCCCCTCTTGGAGGCGTAAAGCAAACACTTAAAGAGCACTTACTGCATGCCAGGCACTGTTCACAATAGTTTGTGGTAGACCATCGAGTTCTCACCAAGGCTCACCATTTACACCTGAGGAAACTGCAGCACACAGGGGTGATTGCTCACGATTGCAGAGCTAGACACGGAACTGGATTCCAGCTGATGAGGCACCAAAGGCTGAGCTCAGAGCCACATTGCTGTTCTGCCTCCACCCGCCTCGCACTGATTTTAGGGATGAGAAAGTCAAGGACCAGAGAGGTGCAGAGGACACGGCTAGTAAGTGTGAGAGTCAGGTTTAAAACTGAAATCTTTGATTGGAACAGTTGCTAATCCAGGGCGGGGGGGGGGGGGGGGGAGCCAGGAAACCACCTGAGGCGACATTAAAGGGAAGGGACCAGCTCAGCAAGATTAGGAGGCGACCACCTGAGAGGAGTTGAAGGGAGTGGAGGCCCTACTCATGCCCTAATCCTCTCAGCAGCCCCACCCTTGAACCATTGTTATAAAACCCCTCATCAAGTTGGGACACAGGGCAGGAGCCTGCTGTGCCCCCCTTTGCCTGGCAAAGTAATAAAGCTATTCTTTTCTACTCCACCCAAAGCTCTATCTCCGAGATTCCATTGGGCACCGGTGTACAGAGGCTGAGATTTTGGCAGCAAATTCAGGGGAAGGAATGGTGCCGGGAAAGGCTGAGAGCGGGGAAACGCAGGAAATGATCTGGAAGGGAAAAAGCCGAAACTGAGATTAGGAGACAGTGGTTGGTAACTGACTCCAACTTGGGGGCGGGGCGTGGGAGCCGAAGTGAGAGGTCCAGCACTGCCCGGAGGAGCCGGGCCCTGGTGGGGAGCGGGCAGAGGGACGCGCGCCTCCCTCTGACCAGTGCGATGAGATGTGGTGCCTTGGGGGAGGGTGGGAGCTGCACACCCTCCCTCCCACCGCGGGCCAGACCCGGCACCCCCGGTGGAGTCTCCCCCACCCGCCCCAG